TAGTTTTACCGGCTGCCCTTGTGTCGAAAGTGCATCAGGAGTACGTCGAGCGTAACCTGGGTTTACATGAGGAGAGCATCTTCCTGCGTTGCGAACATGAAGTAAAATTTCCAATTATATAATATTTTACTTCATGTTCACAACGCAAGAAGATGCTCTTCTCATGTAAACCTGGGTTACGCTCGATATACTCCTGACGCACTTTTGATACAAGGGCAGCTGGTAAAACTACAAAAAAACCCGTGCTTAGTTTATACATACAACTTGATTGATTATAAAATCTTTAAACTTGAGCTTTGTATGATTTCCCTCTGTTATGTTGACTGCAATTATTCCTTGTAATGTTAAAGCAGGGCAAATTAAGTAATGTGTTCCACGCACAAATATAACTTTTTTAGCTGCTCGGGTGTTGATTTGCGAATATCCATAACCTCATGTTATGGAACATTCATCCTTCGTAGATTCGTCAATAAATACTAACTGATCTGAACAATAATATATTCCAATGCGTGCCATGAAGGCACTTTGTGTAAGTTCATTCCTTTCTTTTGCTTGTTTATGGAGCTAAAATAAAATGATAATATAATTGTTAAAAGTTATAAGTATTTTACAAATAAAACAAGGCAACTTAACTTTTTCCGGGTAATGCCGCAGTATACTAATGACCTCAATAATGTTGAAATTGAAACTGATTTTCCTGTTCGCCGTTCCATTTCAGAAATAAGCTCATGTAAAAACCAATCAACCTTTTCTTTAACAATTTCCTGTAAAATCTAAATATTATAAAAACTATTAGAATCAATTATTAGCATTATGTTATACGAAATAAAAACGATAAACATATACCTTCATCTCATTTCTGTTAAATGTTTTTTTTCGTCCAGGAACTTGGCGCCACGGATGAACAACTGTACCCCATTTATTATAAATTTTCAAAACCTTATTTACTAATGATTTACTTATATACAAAGTAGCGGCAATTTCATTTTTTGAATAATGATCATAATGCAAGTAGACAATTCGCCACTTAAGATCCTCACTAATAGGATGCGGCATCTTAAAGTTCAGAATCCTTAGTAACGGGTGAAAAAATTTGTTGGCGATGCTGGGGAAGATTTTTAAAAAAAAAAAAAAAAAGGTTAAAAAGAAATCAAAAATTGTTCAATGTCATTATAATACATAAATATAGCTCAATAAAAGAATGTCGTTATATAAGATATCATTATAACTAGATGTCATTATAGCCGGAGTGATATATTTAGCAAAAAACCAATTTTAATATAATTTCAATTTTAATTCGAAAAAAAAGCATGAAATTCTCTTTATTATTCAGCTATACAAACAATTAGCTCTTGTATATTACTAGCTATAGTATTTAAAAAGCGAAAATGAAAGGGGGATTTTAGGAATTTTTATTTGTTGACAAGTTATTTAGATTTATTTGCAAAAAAAGCCTTAAATTTAGGGAATTTTGAGGATTTCCGTGTGATGACGAAAATATGATGATCACAGTAAATTGAAAAGCGCGATAATTGAAGCTATTCTTGCTTCTACAAACTTTCTTACGGGTAGAAAATGTCCAAAAGAAGATTCCCTTCGAATGTGTCTTGATCAATACATTAAGGGACCAATCAATTTTCGAGATGACTTTTTTGGCTATAATTCTGATCTTAATGAAGAATATATAAACGAGTTATCCATTATCCAGTAGCATTTGTTCACCCGATAGATACATTAAATGTTCAAAATGCTATTAAATGTGGAACAAAATTAAATTATCCTATTGTTGCAAGATCAGGCGCTCATTCTTACGAAGGTTATGGAATTGGTGATAAAGATTGTTATTTAGTTGTTGATCTTAAAAACTTTAATAAAATTACCGTCAATATAACTTCACAAATTGCATTAATCGGGCCAGGAAATACA